CGGCGACCTCACCGAAAGAAAAATGCCCCAAATCGCCCCCAAAATCTCAGCGAAGGCCGCTTTTGATGAGGGAAGACTGTGTCTGGTCTTGATTTTTGTTTAGCTCGCTGGAAATGGATGAAATGAGCAAAAACCGTCGGATTTTTGCGGTTTTCTGGCGAGATTTGAAAGATTCCAGCGAGATTTTGGGCCGTGAAGTGAAGAAGACCGTTCACGGCCCTTTAATAGGCAGACCCTGCAGTTCACGAACGCGTTTGCCGTTTGTGAAACCTTGTGCCATTTGTGTGAATGTTTATGTGTCATGTGTGACACCTTGTGACATGATGATATGTGTAATAGTATTAAATATATAGTTGATGAATCATTCTATTGATTACATACATGAGTACAAGCAAGTTTTAGTCAGCAAGGCTGGTGTATAAAGTGATGATGATTTCTCTTCCAGTGAGAAGTAACATGTGATTGATCGCTCTACGTCTATGAGATTACAAGTTCATGAGATAAGACACTTTATGCCCATAAGTTTACAGATCCATGAGATTTGACACCATGTGCCTAAGAGATTACAAGTTTACGAGTTACTGATTTTTTATGAGGATTTCAAATTTATACAAGTTCACGAGATAAGGCACTTTATGCCCATTAATTTACATATCCATGACATTTGACACCATGTGGGAGATTACAAGTTTACGAGTTACTAATATTTGATCAAAATTTAAAAGTTACACTAGCAACTTATCCATGCATGTGAACCGCAGTGTGATGATTCTATCTGATGTATCTCCGTGATGAGCTCGTATGGTCAATCTTTATGAGGTGTTCAAGTGATAGTTACTTATGATATGTTTCCATGATGACTTGTTATGACATTCTTGCATGGTGAACAACATGGTGGTTTAATGATGCTATAAATCATAATTGTGATAAATGCTGTGTGTCAGAATGTGCAAGAACCTATTGTTTTAATTACATGAATAAAACATGTGTTCTAAAGATAATGGTGTTTTTTATGCCAAAGCCTAAGGTATTCGATCATAATTCTTGGGAAAGGGTTTGTATAACGAGTATATAGTAATATAATGATATTTGTACAAGTACTTAAACTGGAAGCCTAAGGGCAAACGAAGTAGTATATATATTATGGTCCAATACTAATGTTAAACTTAGGGTTTTGTTAGGTTAGAGCTTACTCATTAAGTGACGTCTCACCCCGTCAATATATTTGCCTTCAAAGTCAATAATGTACAATGGTTTTTTATAAAAACCTATTTTTAGGGTTCTATCGGTAGTGTTAGGTGATTGGGAATATAAGGATTTGGGACTAGAATTGGGGAATTGAGATTGAGAATTTGGGGAGGAAAAGAGAAGAATGGTCGGCGACCTAGGGTAGTGGAGAAGACGAGATTGGGAGAAGACTGAGATTGGCGGAAGAATAGGGTTTAGGGAGAGGTACTTTTCTTAATTCTTTCTTGATTGATTATGAATAAAACGCCAAATACATATTTATAACGAAAAAGTGGAAAAACCTAATAGACTATCCTAATATGACTCAAAAACTACTAACCATATCTAATAAAATCCTAATAATATCAATAATAATTATTATGATAGAACCCGAAAATTGGGTTTCTATCATCCCCTCCTCCTTGAGACCAACCTTGCCCTCAAGGTTGAAGGACTCAGCCCACTTCTCCACATTGTCTGTGAACCTCTTCCATTGGTTCATCCATTTCTTACGTTTCCTTTTCTTCCAATCGGGTTCAAGTACTCGATCACGACTCATAACCCAAGTAGCTCCAATAAAACGTCCTACTTCCACCAAACCCAACTCAACCCCTATCATTTCCTCACCCCACCGGCTGGGCTTTTCATTGATCGGGCCAATTCGTGGCTCAATTGTTCCATTAGAACTCGACTCAGCCCACACATAAGGATCAACGAATTCCCTTATTTGTGGATGCAATTGCTTCTCATCAATTTCCCTTCCCAACTTTCCAATCATAAAGCTCTTAGTGACAAACTCCTCTCCAAGAATCTTCCTCCAGTAATGAAATCCCCCATCACTGTCTACCCATTCTTTTCGAACAACATATGTCTTCCATAAGACCCAATTTAATTCATGGGTCCAAACTTCATTAGCAAAGCGTAGGTGTTGAGGCTAGCACCCATTCAAGTCCAGCCGGCTCCAAATCAAGCTTGCTCACTCCAGGCTGCTAACCCAAGCATACAAGACCATCCCATAACACCTGGCCCACTTCAATTGGCCCACTTAGTCTTGCTCTGGGAACCCTTTGGCCCACTACCGTATTTTGCAGAGAGGCTTCGTGGGAGGAGAAAAGATGCAGCTGCCCTTGTTGAAGATTGGTACCACCGCCGATCTCCTCCTTAATCTCCGATGTTGCTTTATCCGGCAGCGGCTGATCCAGCAAGCGGCGAAAAGACCCTCTTTTCTCCATCTTCGTCGGTGAGCCTCTCACCAGCACAGCCCCAGACTTCATCTCTTCTTCCCTCATCGGCGCGACGGAAAGTGCTGCCAATCACTGCATTTTGCGCGCGACACGAAGCTCCAACGACTTCATCTTCCGCGGCCAAGCCTCTACCACCATCTTCATCGCTCCTAACTTCTTCGGCGGCGAGCGGGGCGCCGGGCAGCAGGGAGTCGACTCTGGCGCCACACTTCTCTGCCTTACTTCCTCTTCGATCGAAGACTCGACGGAAACCATCGTCAATTGACGCGCTCCATCTGAAGTTTGCGTCGACGTTGACTCAACCCGGCGGTCCCTCTCTTGCTGTGTGTTGCGTTGGCGGTCGAGGTCGCCGCTGAGCCTTGCTAGTGTCATCGCCGAGCTCCTGACTGTCGCGATCTCGGCTGTGAAACCATTCAACGGTTGTAAAGCTCTATTCATGATGGTGCCCTCGTCATCAACCAGTTTCTCTTGATGTCGCGCCGCCATCACGTTCGTGTCGCTTTCCACACCATGCGCTCTCGAGTTCTCCGGTTCCAGGCCTTCTCCTGGAGGTTGCTTGTTCTTTCGGAATTTCCAACCGTCGGTTGGAATTGGCGAAGATAGAGTTGACCTGAAAACCGTCCTTGCCGCGGAGCTGGTCCGAACTCTGCACTCTCGGTGGCTTTGGGGATTGTTGGCATTGATTGACGACGGAGTGACTGATTCTGCAAATACGACTGCAGCTGAGACAACTGTGGTTGACATTGGAGGCTGGTTAGCCTCTGCTGCCTTCTTCTGAAACGACGCGTGCAACTGGGCAATGGTGGTGGTTTTCGTCGCTGCTGGTGGTGGTGAAACCGCCACGGCGGTGGTTGATGGCTTGGGTTGCCGAGGCGAGGGGACCCGTAATATCTCCTCCACCATCAGTCGCCTCTCTGCTAACCGCCGGTGCCACTCCGTGACTTTCTCAACGGTTATTGTATCCAAAGCTAGAGCGAGTGCGCTCTCCCGAGTGGCGCGTCTTTCCCTTTGTTTCTGCATCTGCTCCAAGAGTCGGCTGATTGAATTATCCATTTCTTCAAACACTAATCGCACTCCTTCTCTAGTTAAGGGTGGTGATAAACTCATCGTTGATATCAGGCTGTAGAATCTGTCCCCGGTTGAGAGGTATGACGAACTCGTTCTCGGAACCAGACTCTGATCCCAGATGATAGAAACCTATTTCTCGAGTTCTATTGGTAGTGTTGGGTGATTGGGAATTTACGGATTTGGGACTAGAATTGGGTATTTGGGATTCAGAATTTGGGAAGGAAAAGAGAAGAATGGTCGGCGGCCTAGGGCAGTGGAAAAGACCAGATTGGGAGAAGAATAGGGTTTAGGGAGAGATACTTTTCTCAATTATTTCTTGATTGATTATGAATAAAACGCCAAATACATATTTATAACGAAAGAGTGGAAAAACCTAATAGACTATCCTAATATGACTAAAAAACTACTAACCATATCTAAAAAAATCCTAATAATATATTATTATGATAGAACCCGAAAATTGGGTTTCTATCAGTTTTCAATCATACTAGTGAAGGCAGCCAAATAGTTGAGAGGTGGACGACGGGACAAGACTCTCCACTTGTTTCGCATACATTAGGTACTCGTGAGAAATTACTATTGCTCTCTAACTACGCTCTCACTAAATGTCTTAATAACGTAATGCGAACGATAGCTTCAGTTATTTTTAGGATTTAATTTCTAATGGGATCCAAGAAAACTTTTGAAAGTTCAGGGAGGTTAATCCGTGAAACTAAAATCCATGAATTAAGTACGTAGTTTCAATTCAATGACCCAAATAAGTTTTGAATATTTGTGTTGTTAAATCTAGGTTAAGAAATATTTTCAAGGGTTTCATGAGTTTGTATGGATTTTTACATGATTTGTAAGAAAATGTCATTCATTTAACTAATTTGCATGTTTCATCCTAATTTCCAAAATTTAAGATCGCTTATATGATAAGAAGAATCGAAAATTACGTAGGGTGTTTCATTCACTGTTTACCGAGAACCTACTAAATGGTTCTGATTGTAATCAAACCGAACCGATTGCCAATCCTAGAAGTGGTAGTGTTTGTTTAATGTATTTGTATTGATTTCTTGTTTTATTTTTGCATTGGTATTAGTTCGCCTGAACGAAGACAGAAAATATTGCAAAAAGGAAGACAGAGAGGTAGCCGGTGATTTATAGAAGTGACAGAGAGATAGAATTTTTTTTAATTCATATATTTTTGTAACTTTCTAAAATGTAATTTAGTAAAAAAATATAAATAATAAATATTTTTTCATACCTAATTTGCTGCTAGTAGTTATGACTTATGATGGCTACTACTACATGGTAATTGCCAACTCTCATCTCAATGGTCTTAACGGGTTCGACAACCTTCTTTATAACTAACTAACTAACTAACCTGCAACCGACAGATGCCACGGTGGCAGGCCCTACTCACCTCACTTCACCAATCAGTCGTCTTACTCGCATCGCAATCATACTGTCACTTAAAACGAATATACCAACACTCAGAGTCAGACTCTCTCAATCCAATTCTGGGACTAACTCTACCTTCTTCAGTTCTTCCCTTTCCCGCTCTTCTGATCAGTCGCTCGCTATCAATCCGGCTCTAAATCCCAATTTCCAACATTGATCAACCTAGGGTTCGCAATTCCATCGCCTTCGCATTCCCCTTGTCTCTTCCAAAATGCAATTCATTCTAGTGCTCCCACTGGGGTTTCGCTGAAAGATGCCGTCTTTCTTGAAATCGCCTCTCCTCTTGCTCGCTTCCTGCCTAGCGTTGCTGTCCTGCAGCTGCTGCAATGGCCGCATCTTCAGCTTCGAGATGCACCACCGCTACTCCGAGACCTACAAGAACTGGTCGACACACCGGAGAACCGTCCGGTTCCCTCTTGAGAACTGGCCGCAAGAAGGAAGCTTCGAGTACTACGCTGCGCTGGCACGTCGCGACCAATTCCTTCGTGGACGCCGGCTCTTTGGGAATGCGGACGACGCCCCGCTAGCTTTCGCTGATGGGAACTCCACTTTTCGGATTAGCTCCTTGGGTTTGTACGTCATATTTTCACTTGATGATTCTTTTTTCCGATGAATTCCTCCTCGCGATTCCGCATTCTTGCATTCCGGTTCTTTTCCCTCGGAGTTTACCCTTTCTTTTGCTCCCTTGCGCGTAATACTTGGGGCTTTCTTGGTGATGTAGTTTCTGTTTTGTGGTGCTCTACTTTTCCTGTTTAGTTTACATTATACGACGGTGGAATTGGGGACGCCTGGAGTGAAGTTCATGGTGGCCCTAGACACGGGGAGTGACTTGTTCTGGGTGCCTTGTGAGTGTAGCAGATGCGCACCTACTGAAGGATCTGCTTATGCTTCTGTATACGCGCTTATCCCTCCATTTTCCATCTTCTCTATTTTGCTAGTTAGGACAGCAGTAAAGTCGCTGGTGTCAAGAAATTGCGGGGCCGATGAAATTGCGACGGGATTGTTTATGAAACTAAAGAGATTAGCTGAACAGACACTTTAGGCGACGTTATTGATTATACCCTGGTGTTTGTTTGACGCCAGGATTTTGAATTCAACATTTACAATCCCAGTGAATCATCAACGAGCAAAAGGGTAACTTGCAACAATGACTTCTGCACTCACCGCAGTCGCTGCCTTGGGGCTTTCAGCAATTGCCCTTACACGGTCTCTTATGTTTCCGCTAAAACATCCACTTCAGGAATCTTGGTACAGGATGTTTTGCACTTAACTTCGAAAGGAAGTTCTGCAGGTGTTGTTGAGGCAACAGTTACTTTTGGGTGTGTTTCTCTTTTTCAAAAATTATTAGCAAATCTAATATTTTCCTGCTGCCTTGTTGTGGCATCGTCATGAATTTCTGTCTTATGGGGCTGGATCATAGTTGAAATGATTTTTGGTATTCTGCAGTTGTGGACAGGTCCAGAGTGGCTCATTTCTGGATATTGCAGCTCCTAATGGTTTACTTGGGCTTGGCATGGAGAGAACTTCTGTTCCTAGTACTTTATCCAGGGAAGGGCTAACTGCAGATTCTTTTTCAATGTGCTTTGGGAGTGATGGTGTTGGAAGGATCAATTTTGGGGACAAGGGTAGTCCTGACCAGGAGGAAACCCCATTTAATCTCAACCCATCACAGTAAGTGGTAATCTCTCGTCTTTTTAATTAGCACCAATTGCTTCTTTGTCTGTCTGGCTTTGAATGTGATGTGCTCCTTTTGTTACCAATGTCTGGAAATGTTTTGCAGCCCAACATATAATATCACTGTGACTCGGGTTAGAGTAGGAACAACCTTAATAGATGCAGATATCACAGCTCTTTTTGATTCTGGGACCTCCTTTACTTACTTAGTCAACCCAATCTACACAAGAATCTCAGAGAGTGTAAGTATTACAATTGGGAAAGACAATTTTGAATATTTATCTCATGAACCATGTCACACAGGAAGTTGTTTTGGTCCTTTGCAGTTCCATTCACAAGCACGAGATAGCCGACGCCAGCCTGACTCTAGGATCCCATTTGAGTATTGCTATAATATGAGGTTAGTGATGGAGTATTGTTGTTTTTGTAAGTAGCTCTCTTTTGTCATGCTCTACCCTCTTTAACTGTACTTGGTTATTGTTTTTCTTCCAAGTGATGCACAGTCCCGATGCAAATGCTAGCTTGATACCAAGTATGACTCTGACCGTCAAAGGAGGCAACCATTTTGCTGTCTATGACCCAATAATTGTCATCTCCACTCAGGTAATCAATATATATTTTTGTCCTTCGTTTGGTACTCTTACCAGTTTTCCTCAATGGTCCCTCACAATGAACAGCAAAGCCTTTGATTATGGACTTCAATTTTCAGGGTCAACTTGTATACTGCCTGGCTATTGTAAAGAGTGTGGAGCTCAATATAATTGGACGTAAGTATTGCTCGCACGCCAAGACTCCTAGTCATCTCTATCTTTTGAGTGCACCTGCGGTTGAGTTCGTTGCTCTGTGTAGCCTAGAGATTGGGAGAACGTTTCTCAGAAGTCCCCTGACATGCAAGTTATCTCGATTCTCACTTGTGCAGAGAACTTCATGACAGGGTACCGTATAGTGTTTGATAGAGAAAGACTTATGCTGGGGTGGAAGAAATTCAATTGTAAGTGTTCTTCATCTCTGCCTTCCTGAAATTGGATACAGTAACCAAACAGTTATTATATAATTACAATTACAGGTTATGATGTTGAGGAGTACAGCAAAGTCCCTGTGGAGCCATTGACGGTTCCCCCCTCTGATGTTGGTGGCGCAGGATCTCACAACAACTTGACCACTGAAGAAGATGATGAGGAAACAAGGCAAGAGGGCACTGATAACCTTGATACCTCCATTGCATCATCATCGCATCAGTGTGTTATAATCACATCAGCCACAAAACAAGTGATTTTGTTGCTCTTGTTGTTGCATTTATGGTGATTTCTTTTTCTTTCTCAGCCTGATGATGTGGTGACTTTGGTCAGTCAAGTCAACCGCGGTTCATTTATGAGAACAGGACAAGTGCCATGCTGATAAGAGGCATACGTACATACCGTGTTGTTCAGTTCATAGGGAGACAGTAGGAACTGATACGAGAGGTGGTGGATCCATTCTTCTTGCCTCCAGATCTTGTGTTTTTGTGTATGGAGAACTATGGAATGTAGAAATTGCATCCATTTCTCTCAGCTTTGTTCTTTTTGATAGGCCACACACTGGCCTGCCACTTCTTCCTCTTTGTCATCGATACAGACATGCGCTAGTGTAGTATAGGGCAAAAGTTTCACTCTAGAGTAGTAAAAATAGCAGAAACTCAACGATACAATTCAGTTGTAGCATTGCAGTTAAAACTTCATCTTGATCCTTTCCAATATCCGGCGAAGCAACGAGGTCACTTGACCCGGCAAGAACGTATTTCATTTATCTATCTACACGTACATGATACTAGTTTAGCAATTTCTGAACTTAAACCTTCCACAAACTCTAACTGAATTTTCTAATGACGCAGAGTATATGTATTCCACGATCTCTCATGAATGTGCCACCAATTTAGTTAAGAACTCGATTTTACGACCTCTCATGAATGTGCCACCAATTTAGTTAAAAACTCGATTTTACGATTTTATCTGTGTGGTGGATCCTTCACAACCAACTCCTCCTAGGTTTATCTCTTGCCACGTATCCCATAAACCTCTCCTTATTCACTCCAGGGGTATAGGAATAACCTCCATTCATGGCCACGTAAAGATGATGTGCCAATTACCCACCAATCCATGTACACGAATCACTTTTCCCTTTACATGTGTAAGAATTATTCAGATTAGTTAGTTGGAGTGGAAACCCTATTAGCTACACGTGGATATGTGGAAGATGGAAGGTTAATTTTACCACCACTTCTCTTTAAGCCCAACCAAATAATACCTCCCCAAAATCACCCCAAGTTACTCCACGTGGCCAAGCAGAGAACCCCTTGAATAATGCTGAAGTTAGGGAGCAGCTGGAAAATGCGGAGCAGCAGGGAGATGGTGTACTCTCAGATAAGGCTACGTCATGGATGAGAGGAAAACAAACGCGGCCCCCAGATATTACCAGTTTGCATGGAAAGGAAAGCACAACCGAGAGCACAGTGGGTTCAACCCATGAGTTGATGTTGGGAGGCCTCAGTAATGAGGCTCCTCACATCTGAGTTGTTACGTGATTTACGTCGGGACCTACCCTCCATAAGCTATCCAATGATGAACAACTTTTTATGGAACTGCAGGGGAGCATGATGCAAACGCTTCTTAAGAGTTTCCAGAGAGTATCAAAGAAAGTATCATCCTGGGATCGTCGTTATTGTCGAGCCAAGGATTAGTGGAGACAAGGCTTTAGAAGTGATTCAAGACATGAGATTTTACAAGCATTTGATTGTGGATGCAGTGGGCTTCTCGGGAGGTATTTGGTTGTTATGGAACTCAGCTTTGGTAACTATTATAGAGGTTGACAGGTCTGATCAGCTGTTACATGTTAAGGCTAGTAGTGGAAATGACAGCTAGTTACTTCCGTCCATTTACGTGAATCCGACACTAGTACAACGCCGCCAATTGTGGCACGCGATAAGGACTTTGGCAAAGGATTTGGTTGACCCGTGGCTTCTTGTAGATGACTTCAACTCTATCCTTCATCCATCACATAAGTTGGGTGGTGCTCCGTTCAATGCCACTCGTGCGAGAGAATTTCAAGATTGTGTGTTGGACGCGGGGCTTCTAGACTTGGGATATACAGGGCCACCCTACAATTGGTTTCATATAGGTGTTAAAGAACGGCTTGATCGAGGGCTAGCTAACGGAGCTTGGACTGGCAAGTACCCGGAGGCAACGGTGAGACATCTACCTAAGGTTAAGAGTGATCATAGACCCATCTTGATCACCATGACACCGAGTTTCCATCCGGGTGGTCCCAAACCGTTTAAGTTTTTGGCCGCCTAGTTAACTCACGAGGGATTTAATGAGATGGCTACTCAAGCTTTGGGTAGAGGAAATTACTTATTATCGTCCATTGCTGAATTTGTCACGGACGCCAGGAGATGGAATGCCACCACCTTTGGGCATATATTAAGGAAGAAGAATTCCCTCCTATCTCGTATTGAAAGGTTGGAGACTAGACATGGAGGTGATTCGGATAGTGAGTCTCTAAGGTTAGCAAGGGAAGAGCTAAAGAAGATCCTCTTACAGGAAGAGCTTTTATGGTGCCAAAAATCTAGATTGGATTGGATAGCCTGGGCGTTAAAAATCCTAAATATTTTCATGCCCGAGCTTTTTAGAGAAGAAGAACGAATCGGCACTCAACCTTTAAAAATGAGAATGGGGTATGGGTGGAGGAACAAGATCTTCTACTTGATCTAGCTTGTCGTTTGTTCCAAGTATTATACACGGATGACGGAGCTCCTGTTCGAACTCTAGAGGCAACTTTTCGTCAAGTTTCAACTAGCCTTTGGGCTCTCCTCGAGCAACAGTTCACACTAGAGGAGATATACAACTCGGTCAAAGCTATGAGATCGTTGAAGGCTCTAGGTAAAGATGGATTAAATCCGTTGTTTTATCAGCGGTGTTGGGAAATTGCGGGACCAATAGTGGTGAACTATGTGCAATCGTGTTGGCAGGAACCTTCTTGGGTTCAGAAGGTTGCACTACCTCTCGGGGAAGAGTATGGTAATTGAACCAGGCTCTTTGGAATTCTTTGCTGGGAAATATGGAAGAATAGGAATAAGTGGGTATTTGAAAAGAAGCTGGCAGTGAAGGATCAACTGTTACGATCGGCTAAACAGTTGTGGGGTCAATCTGCAGAAGCGGTGAGTAGAGGACGGCTTGTTGTGGAAGGGGGTCCTGCGAGAACGCAAAGCCTAATTAGCTGGCAAAGACCACTGGATGGTTGGATATGTGTGAATACAGATGGGTCTGTGAATTTGGTGTTGGGAAGCTTGGTGGCTAGGGCTGTTCTCCGAGACAAAAATGGTCGCTATATGGGAGCTTATGCAATCAATCTAGGTGGTGGTTCCATTACACATGCAGAGTTGGCTGGTATTGCGGAAGGATTAAGGGTTGCTTGGGAGAAGGGGGCCAGGAAGGTAGTGCTACAGACTGATTCAGCTGCAGCTCTCTCACTATTTCAGTCGACGACCTCGTGTCATCCGCATTACACGATGACTTCCACCATTCGTCGGCTGCTGGAAAGGGAATGAGAAGTCTCGCTCGTCCACGTGTTTAGAAAGAAAATTTTGTGGCAGATTATTTGGCATCGTTTGGTTATTCCTTACCTAGCTTGAGATATTGACTGTACTTTGACTTTATTGGCGTTAAAAACCCGCAATTTATTAATACTTAAACGGTTAGAGCGCTCCTCTGCGCTCTGTGTTGAAAAAAAAAAGAGAATATAATACTCTCATCAAGAATCTAAATTAGTTTTAATAAAAATAAATCAAAATATTCCGTCGGGTGTAAGCTAGTTTTTAACGAAACCTCCAACAGGGCAGGAGTATTATAAACAAATTTATAAAAAAAACTCTGTTTCTGTAGCACCTGCTCCCGTTTCGCTGCTCACCTCCTCATCTCCTTCCTTCTCTACCGGGGAATCCTTTTCTGTGACTGCGAATTGGAAGAGACATAGGGAGAAGAGGAGGCTTGGGACTTTGGTGGAGAGAGACTTGGGCTTCAAATTACTTACAGCTCAGACTACCTCCCCTCCCCATATCATATCATCGCTTCGCCTAAACCCTAACTCCACGCCACGGATCCAATCTCCGTTCCAATGGGCTCGCTTCTATCCCCTTTTCTCATCTCCCCTTCCATTCCTCCGACCAACCATTTGCAATCTCTTCCGCCTTCCCCCGGCGATGGCGATATCCCCGATGCTTGGTATGGTAACATCCAGTACCTTCTCAACATATCTGTCATCGGCTTGTTCCTCTGCGTCTTCATCTTTCTCTTCGTCAAGCTCCGCAGCGACCACCGCAGCATGCCCGGCCCTAGCGCCATCCTCGCCAAGCTGCTCGCCGTCTGGCACGCCACCGGCAGGGAGATCGCCCGCCATTGTGGAGCTGACGCCGCACAGTTCCTCATCATTGAAGGCGGCAGCTTCACGGTGCTCTTGTCCATAGCAGCTTTGTCCATCTGCGTCATACTACCGGTGAATCTCTATGCAGGGACCGCGGTGCTCAGTGACCAGTTCTCCAAGACCACGATTAGTCATATCGGGAAAGGTTCGGAATTTCTTTGGCTCCATTTCTTGTTTGCGGTGGTGGTTGTGGTTTTGGCCCATTTCGGCATGTCTGCAATTGAAGAGAGACTGAAAATAACTAGGTTCAGGGATGGGAATGGGAATTTGAGTGACCCCAATGCGAATTCCACTGCTATCTTCACTATCATGGTCCAGGGGTTGCCGAAGAGTTTAGGCCCTGATAAGGCTTTGTTGGAGGAGTACTTTAGCAATAAGTATCCTGGCAAGGTCTACAAGGTTATCATGCCTATGGATTTATCTGCGTTGGGTGAACTAGCCACTGAATTGATCACGGTTAGGGATGAAATTACTTGGTTGGTTGCCCGAATGGACTCCAGGTTGTTGCCAGAGCGAACTGAGGGGGAAGATGTAGTTGGTGAAGGGTTCTGGGAGAAATCTAGAGCATTGATGATCCTTGCCTGGAGGAGAGTAAAGCAATTGTGGGACAAACTGATGCAGGGAATGGGTTATACTGATGAAGACAAGCTAGGAAAGTTGCAAGCACTGAGAGCTCAACTTGAAACTGATTTGGTGTCATTTAAAGAAGGCCATGCTCCAGCTGCTGGTGTTGCATTTGTTGTATTCAAAGATGTTTATACGGCCAATAAAGCTCTTCAGGACCTTCGAAATGAGAGGAAACGGAGGTTTGGTAAGTTTTTCTCTGTGATGGAGTTGCGATTGCAGAGAAACCAATGGAAAGTGGAACGGGCCCCTTTGGCAACTGATATTTACTGGAACCACTTGGGGACAACAAAGTTGTCACTGAGGTTGAGGCGAACCTTTGTGAATAGTTGCTTGCTGTTGATGCTTTTGTTCTTTAGTTCTCCTCTTGCGCTTATAACCGCCCTCCAGAGTGCCGGCAGGATAATTAATGCAGAGGCAATGGATAATGCCCAATCATGGTTACATTGGGTTCAAAGCTCCAGTTGGTTTGCTTCCCTTATCTTCCAGTTCTTGCCCAATGTTATTATCTTTGTGAGTATGTATGTAATAGTGCCCTCTGCACTTTCATATCTCTCCAAGTTTGAACAGCATCTTACTGTTTCGGGGGAGCAAAGAGCTGCACTTTTGAAGATGGTTTGCTTCTTCCTCGTGAACCTAATCCTATTGAAAGCATTGGTTGAATCTTCTCTGGAGAGCACGATCCTGAAAATGGGCAGGTGCTATTTGGATGGAGAAGATTGCAAAAGGATCGAGGAATACATGAGTGCATCATTCCTATCAAGATCTTGTCTTTCTTCTTTGGCATTTCTAATCACTAGCACTTTCTTGGGGATATCTTTTGATCTTTTGGCACCAATTCCTTGGATAAAGAGAAAATTGCAGAAGTTTAGGAAGAATGATATGCTTCAGCTTGTACCAGAGCGAAGCGAAGAGTACCCGTTGGAAGAAAATCAGACGGCTGTGGATGATGGCCTTCTTCAGAGACCGCTGATGAGGGATTATGTGAATAATTCAGATGGGCAAGACCTTTCTGAATATCCACCTATCAGCAGCAGCAGAACATCTCCTATCCCGAAGCAGAAGTTTGATTTTGCTCAGTATTATGCATTCAATTTGACAATATTTGCCCTTACCTTGATATACTCATGTTTTGCTCCATTGGTGGTCCCTGTGGGTGCGGTCTATTTCGGATATCGATACATGGTAGACAAGTACAACTTCCTTTTTGTGTATAGAGAAAGGGGGTTTCCTGCAGGGAATGATGGAAGGTTGATGGACGTCGTGCTTGGTATCATGAGATTCTGCGTTGATCTATTCCTGGTGTCAATGATCTTCTTCTTTGCTGTTCAAGGGGATTCCACAAAGCTGCAAGCCATTTTCGCCCTAGGGCTGTTAGTAGTGTACAAGCTTTTGCCTTCAGATAGCGATTACTTTCACCCTGCACTTTTACAAGGTTTTCAGACTGTTGATAGCATTGTAGATGACGGACCTATTGATTATGAGGTTTTCTCACGGCCCAGCTTTGACTGGGATGCATACTGCCCATGAATGGAGATGTATATCCAATCCAATGTTTTCTCACAGTGAAGTCAATTCTTATCCCTTGCCCTGCCTGCCCATTTGTTCATCTATTTGACATTTTACGGCCATAATCTAACGGAGAACTCGAATTGAATACACATCTTGAAATGTGAGTTGGCTCTGTTTCTGTAGTCATTTTTTCGCATGGAATTGTTTCAGACTAGGGTAAAACAGAAAGATAAGAAGCCCACTGTGGGCAGAGAGATACGAGGTAAAGAAACAATGAACCCTGGAGTTTGGCAGTTTTAAGGAGATAGAAGTGAAGAGATGGAAGAATGTCAATTGGGGGAGCCAGGAGACGGAACCCTCAGGTAAATCGATGCACTCTGCCCTTTTCTCACACTATCAGCTTCATCAACGGTGCCTGACAAGTAATACCGAAGCCTTCGATCGTAAATACCGAAGTCTTCGATCGTAAACCTCATTTCCAGGGTGAAGATGTATATTGCCTGGCTATTGTAAAGAGTGCAGAGCTCAATATAAGTATTACTGGCACTCCACAAGTTACCTGTCTTTTGAGCACTCCTGATGCTGAGAAAAAAAGAGTATTGAGAAGTCCCCTGGACTTGCTATCTTTCACTATTTCCACTTATGAAGAGAAGTTCGAGTGCTTTGGGTTGAAAGAAGTTTTGTTGATGAACTCTTCCATCCAGTGAAGGAGAAGAAGAAGAAACAAGCATAACGGATGTGGCCAGCTTGTTGACCGGCTGCAGCATTTGTGATGAACCGTTTTCTTCTTCAGCCTGATGATGTGGCAAGTTTTGTCAACGGGGTTTCATTTATGAGGACTGGCCTCGAATCATTATTATAGTCATACATTACATACATGCATAACGCGTTGTTGTTGAGTTCTTGGGTGGGATCCAATATTCTACATCCATCCAGAATCCAGATCTTGTTCTGCGTGGAAGATTTCGGAGTATATTGGCAGCACCACCAATGTCTCGCAATCTTTGGGCGATATGTCTGAATATTCTGTGTTGCATGCCCTCTATTATTAGCTTGGACGGATTTTAGTCTCGGGTTAATAAACGAGTTGATACAATTATGACACGCTATTAATTTGCATTATTTTTCGGGTTAAATTGTATTGGGGGATTTGAGTCTCAAATTTCGTTTATTAATGAGTGGATACAATTATCACTTGCTATTTAATTCCATTATTTTATGGGTTGGGTGGATGGATAACGGGTGGATGCAGTTGGTTGTGGAAGGTATTGGTTGTTAACACTTTCACACTGGTTAATGAGTAAAATGTGAACTACTTGCTATATTGATCGATCGTAATTTGGTTTAATTCGGTTCAATTCTGATAACATTGACAACTATACTTTTGTGAACACCAAAAAATTATTATTTTCATTAACTATTTTTCGATGGTTGAGTAGAAGGGAACTGTTCAAATACAAGATTGGATGGTGATTATACGCTACATAGTCACCATATAAAATGACGTGGGATGTTTTGCTAAATAAATAGTATCATAAAAATTACAAAGTGGATGATGACACAATCCAATATCACGGAATGCGTTAGGGTGGAAACTGAATTTCTAGTAGCCACCGTGGCTACATCAGTATCCACCATTTATTTTCTTCTCTTTTCTCTTTTTTTAATCTTACGGTTAAGATTGCCTCAGGATAATTTTGGAAGAGAAAAAAGGACCACACTTAATTATTCTATATATTCTACCCTAACCCTACTTCTACAGCCAAACCCGCCGTAGCCGCAAGCTCTCACCCTCCTCGACGATGGTTTAGGGTTTGCTTGTCCGACGACTCCTTCCGCGCCTCTTTCTCCGGCCACAGGCGAGCCACCAATCGGATGGGTGGCGATCCGAGCACCGTCGCACTCATGGAAGAACTCCTCTTGCCTTTCGGCTTGCTAACACTAGCAGCAGCGGAGCTTTCTTCCTCCGTATTGTTGTTGCTACTACTAATCTCCTTCCCGACTCCATTTTCGATCTGATTTTCCACAGCACCAACTTGCTGCTGCTGATTGTGACGGCGAGACTCTCCCACTCCTCCACTACCTCCACCGCCGTCGGCCTCTTGCCGCTCAGCTCTTTCCCGAAAACGCAACCCATGCTTCATTCAAATCACATTCCAAACCTGAAAACGACCCATGCCTAGGGTTGTCGTGCAGACCTCCAGCAATCTTTAAGGATTGGTATGTTTTTTTTTAAATGGTAGTCATTTTTTTCCGTAGTGATTTTTTTTTTAAATGGTAGTCATTTTTTCCCGTAGTGGTAGTGTTATTGTCGTATTGGTATTGTTTTTGGTCGCATTGGTATTATTTTTGTCGCATTGGTATTGATTTTCTCGCATTGGTATTGATTTTGTTACATTGGTATTGATTTTGTCGCATTGGTAGAGATTAAATCTGCAATGGTATTGATGTTTTGTGAAATGGTAGTGTTTTTATTTCTTGAATGGTATTGATGTTTTGTACAATGGTAGTATTTTTTTAATGGATTGGTATTGATTTATTGTTTTGTTGTTGCAGCGGTATTAGTTTGGATGAACGAAATCAAGGAAAGATTGAGGAAAGGAAGGAAGAGAGATCTGGCTGAAAAATTGTGGAAGTGAGAGAAAGAGAGAGAGAAATTGTATTTAATATATTTATGTAATTTCTTCAAATGTAATTTATTAAAAAAGATCATTAATAAATTTTTTGTTATACCCAATTTGCCCTTAGTAACCACGGTGATTACTATAAAATAGTAATCACCATAACCTGTCCCCAATATCACAGTTACCATGCAATGGTTAATTGGTTATACACCAACCTTACCCTTCGTTACGATTTCCATTCAACATGGTGAGAATTCATAGTACCGATGTGTCCCGTATTGAGCTTTACAATTTATAAACTCGATCATCGACAATACTAACTACTCAAATTTAGAATAAGTGCACCTTTGAACGGCGAAGTAGTATAGTGGTGATTAAAGTCATATTCCAAGGGCAATCTAAGTCTACTATTCCTCTCGGCCTTGACCTACTACCTAGTAAACAGATGGTTGAGGGTTTAAGTGTGAACAAAACTAACTACGAGGAAGATCACAAGAGATAGAATGTTGAATCCCTCTAGCTATAGGTTGAATCGGGTTGTAACCTATGGTGTTTTGAGGTGCAAAGATTACTGAGTTGGTGCAATGGTCAGGTCTCCTTACCCCCTACAAGCCACGTCCATCGAACCATAGTCACCTCAAGGACCCAAAAAAATCAATTTTTTTATTGAAGCGACCTTCGCTTACTGGTCATTAACTAGATTTCCTAATTAGGGATGGACCCTACCTTCCATAAACGGGTTATACCTATCCGGACACTAGTAGGGTGAGTCAATGGTCACACACTCACCTCACTAGCATCAACTATGTGAGCTCCTCATTGAAAGGGGATGGTCACCTCGTCCTCCAATGAGGACCCTAGATCATCTAACTTAGGTAGGAAGCACTCACATACATCCACACCCTAATCGAAACATTAGGTACCTAGTTGAACACAATGATACCATAGATTCATATGCAAGGAATCACTCAAGCTAACACCTAAGTAAGTGTAAAAATTAGGTACCTAGTTGGTTCCTCTGTCGTTGACGGGGAGCTCTTGGCGAGGTTTAAGATAAGATAAGTTGATAAAACCAAGGGGAGGATCGACCCGTTCAGTATAATTCCGAAGAAAGACTGTTGGCAGCACGTGGAAACCTTTCTTTGGCCCTCTTCAAAAGGAAATCTGGGATCGAGGTTAGATGCACTTCTAGGTAGCTTCTTGCCTCAATGGTCATGCAATCAACCAATCACCTCGAGCACTAAACCTATTTCTCTAATTGTGAACAAGGCTAAAGGAAAATGAGACTTGAATTCAAATGTCATGCAATCAAAATCTCATACTACTTGATGTGGCTTCTAATTTCAACCTAAGGGGATGGGCACCTCACTTAGGTAAAAAAAAAAAAAAATCAATCAATCACATTTAGCAAGAGATTGGTATAATCAAATATCAAATAAACATAGATATATACGTTAATAGTCACTCTTACGCATGACCCATGCACAAACTATAAAGTAGTTTAGTAGGGTTAATCTCCCTAAACAACAAGAGAACTAGAATATATATATATATATATATATATATATATATATATATATATATATATATAGAGAGAGAGAGAATGTGTACAAAGAGGTTGAAGAACACCAATATGAGCTTGATCCATCTTCTCCTTCTTGGATTGCCCACTCTTCTTCAATTTTGGGAGGATTTGGGGATAGAATGAAGAAGAAATCACCCAAAACCTCTCCAAACTCGTCACTCTCACTCTACATCTCTAAAACTTTGTTTCTCTCTCGAGGATACCCTCCTTTGCTCAAATCAGACACTTCCTATTTATATACCCACACAAGTAAGAGATCGCAACCTAGAGGTTCGGAGGAGTTCATGGTCGTGATTTCTTGTTAGTAGGTAATGATCTCAAAGAAAGGGAAAGATTACAACTTATTCAAGTGAGTTCACAACCGCGTCAGTAGATGGCAAAATTCTGGGAAAGAGGAGATCACGGTCTATGCACGTGAGTTGGCGGTTTTAATATTCTTCCCATGACAGTGAACTACTTCTCATAGTCTGGCTTGCCGTGACACGCGGTTAACCGTGACACATTATGAATTCACCAATTTCTCCCTCTCTGAGTTTCCTGGTATGGAATGGAGTTTACGGCCGTGATCTCAACTTAAGTCTTCTTTCAACCTTATTTTCACTCTTCGAACAACCTCCGATTGGCACGAAACTTGGTGTGCTTCTTCCTTATCATGCTAGGACGTGAGATTAAGCAAGCAAACACAAAATCTAGCCTAGAATAGAATAGGATGAGAATGAAAAAAATTCACGCCAAATGGTCAAGTGATGATAAAATTTGTGGTAAACCTTAGAGTAAGACAACATGAAGCAAAAATAGCACGAAATCGA